GTGGTGTTGGAGTCCGTTTGGGTTTCCAAAGTGGATTACTTGATTAGTCTTTGCCCACGAATAGCGTTGTGCTTATGAGTTATTGTATATTTATGGTTCTTTGATTGCTTGAACATAATCTCACTGTTTGATGTTTTGGAGAAAACGTTTGTTAACAAACAAAAAATTTACTGTGATAATTTAGACTGACATCTAGTCTCTGAAATGAAAATATTTTACAGAAAGAATGACAGTAATCTAGACTTGTCCACTATTATAGACTTGCATGGGCTGTATTGGGTATGTTTGATTCAGGGTCTGTATGACAGTAATCTAGACTTGCCCACTATTATAGACTTGCCCAGACTTGGGCTGTATTAGGTATGTTTGATTCAGAGTCTGTATGACAGTAATCTAGACTTGCCGACTATTATAGACTTTCATGGGCTGTACTGGGTATGTTTGATTCAGGGTCTGTATGACAGTAATCTAGACTTGTCCACTATTAAAGACTTGCATGGGCTGTATTGGGTATGTTTGATTCGGGGTCTGTATAACAGTAATCTAGACTTGCAAACCATTATAGACTTGCATGGCTGTATTGGGTATGTTTGATTCAGGGTCTGTATGATAGTAATCTAGACTTGCCCACTATTATAGACTTGCATGGCTGTATTGGGTATATTTGATTCAGGGTCTGTATGATAGTAATCTAGACTTGTCCACTATTATAGACTTGCATGGGCTGTATTGGGTATGTTTGATTCGGGGTCTGTATGACAGTAATCTAGACTTGCCCACTATTATAGACTTGCATGGCTGTATTGGGTATGTTTGACTCAGAGTCTGTATGACAGTAATCTAGACTTGTCCACTATTATAGACTTGCATGGGCTGTATTGGGTATGTTTGATTCAGGGTCTGTATAACAGTAATCTAGACTTGCCCACTATTATAGACTTGCATGGGCTGTATTGGGTATGTTTGATTCGGGGTCTGTATAACAGTAATCTAGACTTGGCCACTATTATAGACTTGCATGGACTTTATTGGGTATGTTTGATTCAGTGTCTGTATGACAGTAATCTAGACTTGCCCACTATTATAGACTTGCATGGCTGTATTGGGTATATTTGATTCAGGGTCTGTATGATAGTAATCTAGACTTGTCCACTATTATAGACTTGCATGGGCTGTATTGGGTATGTTTGATTCGGGGTCTGTATGACAGTAATCTAGACTTGCCCACTATTATAGACTTGCATGGCTGTATTGGGTATGTTTGACTCAGAGTCTGTATGACAGTAATCTAGACTTGTCCACTATTATAGACTTGCATGGGCTGTATTGGGTATGTTTGATTCAGAGTCTGTATGACAGTAATCTAGACTTGTCCACTATTATAGACTTGCATGGGCTGTATTGGGTATGTTTGATTCAGGGTCTGTATGACAGTAATCTAGACTTGCCCACTATTATAGACTTGCATGGGCTGTATTGGGTATGTTTGATTCGGGGTCTGTATAACAGTAATCTAGACTTGGCCACTATTATAGACTTGCATGGACTTTATTGGGTATGTTTGATTCAGGGTCTGTGTGACAGTAATCTAGACTTGCATACCTAAGTATTAGAGTGGAGTGATCCAAGAAAAGTAGAAACCGATGATAGTGGAAAAAATGTTTAAATTGGCTTTAAACACAATTCGACAATGACCTGATTGGTCAGTTATGAGCTGTAAATCACCATGACCTTTGAACTGAAACCTCTGATTTGAAGAATAAATATTGACTGAAAAGTACTTTTTGGCATTTTCACCATCATAAAAAAATGTTGGAGACACCTAAGAGCTTGAAATTTGGTACTTCTATCTTGGAATGAGACCTTTTGTCATTGTACCTAGAGCTCTTGACATGCTTCCTACCATAGTGGGTGAGTGAGTATGGTTTTACTCTGCTTTTAGCAATATTCCAGCAATATCACGGCGGGGGACACCACGAATGGGCTTCACACATTGTACCCATGTCGGGAATCGAACCCGGGTCTTCGGCGTGACGAGCTAACGCTTTAACCACTAGGCTACCCGACCGCCCCCGCTTCCTACCATAGGTCAGGTTCCTCCTCTCATGTTTAGTTGGATCTCCTGTCATGTTTAGTTGGACCTTCTGTCATGTTTAGTTGGACCTCCAGTCATGTTTAGTTAGACCTTCAGTCATGTTTAGATGGACCTCGAGTCATGTTTAGATGGACCTCCAGTCATGTTTAGATGGACCTCCAGTCATGTTTAATTGGACCTTCTGTCATGTTTAGTTGGACCTTCTGTCATGTTTAGTTGGACCTCCAGTCATGTTTAATTGGACCTTCTGTCATGTTTAGTTGGACCTCCTGTCATGTTTAGTTGGACCTTCAGTCATGTTTAGATGGACCTCCAGTCATGTTTAGATGGACCTCCAGTCATGTTTAATTGGACCTTCTGTCATTTTTAGTTGGACCTTCTGTCATGTTTAGTTGGACCTCCAGTCATGTTTAATTGGACCTTCAGTCATGTTTAGATGGACCTCCAGTCATGTTTAGTTGGACCTTCTGTCATGTTTAGTTGGACCTCCAGTCATGTTTAGTTGGACCTTCTGTCATGTTTAGTTGGACCTTCTGTCATGTTTAGTTGGACCTTCTGTCATGTTTAGATGGACCTCCAGTCATGTTTAGTTGGACCTTCAGTCATGTTTAGATGGACCTTCTGTCATGTTTAGTTGGACCTTCTGTCATGTTTAGTTGGACCTTCAGTCATGTTTAGATGGACCTCCAGTCATGTTTAGTTGGACCTTCTGTCATGTTTAGTTGGACCTCCAGTCATGTTTAGTTGGACCTTCAGTCATGTTTAGTTGGACCTTCTGTCATGTTTAGTTGGACCTTCTGTCATGTTTAGTTGGACCTTCTGTCATGTTTAGATGGACCTCCAGTCATGTTTAGTTGGACCTTCTGTCATGTTTAGTTGGACCTCCAGTCATGTTTAGTTGGACCTTCTGTCATGTTTAGATGGACCTCCAGTCATGTTTAATTGGACCTTCTGTCATGTTTAGTTGGACCTTCTGTCATGTTTAGTTGGACCTCCAGTCATGTTTAGTTGGACCTCCAGTCATGTTTAGTTGGACCTCCAGTCATGTTTAGTTGGACCTCCAGTCATGTTTAGTTGGACCTTCAGTCATGTTTAGATGGACCTCCAGTCATGTTTAGTTGGACCTCCAGTCATGTTTAGTTGGACCTCCAGTCATGTTTAGTTGGACCTTCAGTCATGTTTAGTTGGACCTTCAGTCATGTTTAGTTGGACCTTCAGTCATGTTTAGATGGGGGCCTCCTGTTATGTTTAGATGGACCTTCAGTCATATTTAGAAGGACCTTGAGGCAGGTTTAGACGGACCTTCAGGTTGGCTGAGATGGACCCTCCAGTTTTCCTCTCCAATTAAGATGATGACTACAATACTGTTCATGGCAATGCTGAGCTAAACTCAGTCATTCATTATTGAAATGCTGACATTGCTGGTCTAACTACGTGTTTTGTAACAGTTCAAAGGCCATAGTGGTTTACTCCCCTTGCAATGACTTCCTTCATCTTTGCATCATGGGTGGCATGGGGGCCAGCAATTTGCTGTGCAGAGTTGCATCCCTTGGGCATGCTTCCCTGTGATTGTTGGTTTCGAAACCCGGTCCATCCTGATTGTTTCTAGCTTTGTCAGCACCATACTCATGGGTTTCACCAAAGTGGTAAACGTTTGAGAACTGCATCACTTCAGGCTTTCCTCCCACATCAGTGAGTGAGTTGGGTTTAACGCCGCTTTTAACAGTATTCCAGTTATATCGCGACGTTCCTCCCACATCAAGCTGACACGACATGATGTAACTGTTCAAAGCGTGTTAACCAACTCACTCTAACGACCTGTTCCGTAACTGTTGCATGGCCATAGTTATTTACTACCCCTTCAATGGCTTCCTTGGCTTCTTAATTAATGCATCATCCCCGTGAAGATGCGGGTTTGAACAAGTCTTCAGCAACCCATGATTTTTGTAAAAGGCGACTAAGCTTGTTGTAAGAGGTGACTAACAGGATTAGATGGTCAGGCTCGCTGACTTGGTTGATGCATGCCATTGTATCTCAATTGAGTAGATCAATGCTCATGATGCCAATCACTGGATTGTCTGGTCCATAATCGATTATTTTCAGATCGCTGAAATATTGCTGCGTGCGGCGTTAAACAACAAAAGTCTTAGTGCATTATGTATGGCCTGGTATTTGTGGCCATCTGGAGTCCGAGGCAATGCATGTCAACCAACTTTTCAGCAGGTATATTGGTATCTTAGATGTTTATCCAAATTAGATAACGTCATGTAGATATTTCCTAAGGACACATGGGAGTTTGGGATAGATGGAAATAAGAAGGATGGTGGTAAGCTATTTCTGGATAGTACTGTATTAGAAGATGAAACTTAAATATTCTTGGAAAGATGTGTTACTAAAAACAGAGTAAATCTGATTTTTTATTCATAATTCATGATTTAAATTGCTATTTTTAAAAAGAAAGAAAGTGCAGAATAGGAAATCCACTTTTGTATTATTGTCACATGATACTTCAGGTCTGGAAGTCTTTTGATACCCCTGATGACGACCGTTGAGTAATATGTTACACTGCTTCCAGCAATATCATGGCAGGGGAACACCAGAAATTGGCTTCACACATTGTACTCATGTGGGGAATTGAACTCGGGCCTCGGATGAACTATGAGCAAATGTTTTAACCACTAGACTACTCCTTCATTTCCTGATGACCTTTTAGCTTTAAATTTTAATCTCAAAAGGATTTCTGAATAAAAATTGCACTTTGCCTTTATCAACACCCTTGCCATTAGGTAGCCCAGTGGACAGTGTCATGCACATCTGGGTTCAATTCCCAGATGAAAACAATCCCAAGTCCAGCTCCAGGTCCATTATGATGCCATAATGTTTAACATATGGAACAAAACGTCAGAGAATGGAAATGTATATTTTATTGATACATGTCTACATATGTACATGTCAGATGTAATTATACAAATTATGTACACAATAAAATTACATGATAGGAGAATGTACATATGAGAATAAGAAACAAAGACCTTACAAGTAATACAGCTTGGCAGAATACCCATTTACAGATGTGCACTTCCACATCTTCAAGTCCATACATGACACTCAACTAAGAATTATATTACTATGAAATCTATTATTACTCATTAAATAATCTAGCTTTCTGATTAGTCTCTGGCCATGTTCTAAGATCCTATGAAAGTTAGATGACACATCTGTTCAATTGTGACACCATCTGTGATGATTTTGATGACAGCTTCAAATATGATACAGAAAGAAATCACTTACTTACTGGACAAACGCAAATAAGAAATGGTGTAAAGTTGCTGTTACAGGTACTTGGTTTGTGTGTACCAGGACTGATCTGGGAGTGCCTGGCTTGTCAAGCTGGAGACTGGCGCAACTACAAGACAGAAGTTCACTCTCCGTCCTCCCTACTCCTGCAGTAAACCTGTGCTTGTCATGAGAGGACGTCATGGATCCGGTGGTCATCATCCAGGACTTGTGTTTATGTGTGTCGTTGTTTCCAAGTGATATGGAACGTTGCTCCCGATATCACTTGGCACCGATTGCTCAGTTCGACAACAAACTACTCGGTACTGAGAGTGGGGTAGATAATACTCACGTGTACATTTCTACAGGTAGTGCAACATCTTGCAACAATCCAAACACTGAAACTCACTTGGCATTAGAATTGTTTGCTCCTTGTGACATGTTTGAAGACGACCATAATATTCCCCCCAGTTTTAAATTCATACTTTAAGTACTACCATATCAAGCGCCCCTAACCAGCAACCACTGGACCAAACTGCATGTCATACAAGCACGCCATTCTAAGCCTTGTGCACATGGCGGCCTGCATTTTATCTCTGTGAGACGCTAAGCACTAACATCATGATCAATACAAGAATACTAGATGAATACAAGAAGTCAACTAGGTCAGTTGAATAGCACATTCTGCATTGAAGGTATGATAGGAAACAAAACAATATTCAATAAGGAATTTGTTTCCTAAGAAGCAATTTTGGACAAAAGTGTCACACACACAGTAAGCTGAAGATGTGTTGAAACTTGTGATTGGTATTCCAACGGACGGATTAATATAGATATGTTAACAAATAAACAGTAAACTATGGTTATAATGAACTCAAAGGGACCACTAATTTTAGTTCGTAATAAAAACATGTACAGCATATATACAACAAATGGCCGGGACTAAAAAATAAGTTCGTCATATTTGTCATTTCATATAAGCGCATTCATCATAAACATAGTTTACTGTATACACTTGCATTAGGCCCTGTCTGCAAGTGTAAAAAACATACCCACAATTCACAAATCATGTAAAATCTGACAGCATTGTGGCACCTTTCAAACCACCTAATAATGCAATGTCCAGCCACCTTCATTGGGCCCTTGATTTAAGTGACCTTTGCAAGGAAAAACAATCAAGTCACACATGCAAAGCTATCACCTCTGAGAATGTCTAAGTAGATTCCTGTGCAACTCCTCCCATATTTCAAAATACATGTACTTATGACAGTCAAAGAGATAAGAAGCTTTGTGGTCTTCAGTCTACAGTGAAAGCCAGTCCAGACCCTGTGAATCTGGACATGTGTTCAATCCATTTCTGCTGGAATAAAAGCGATGTGAAACCCAACTCACTCGCTGACAGACTGGTGATACTGATAGGTCAATCATACACTTCAGTATAACTACTTCCTCTAACAGTGCTGTGTGTAATCATGGTAACAGTTGCAGGGAATTAACAACAGATCAGTAACAAGAACCATCATCTGACTCGCATCTAAGACCAGAACGTATCCTCTCCAGATTATTCACATTCTTCCCAGTTCAGTTTGACACTGGTGCCGACAAAATCATTGTGAACCCAAAATCATTCGAAAATGGCTTGCCTAACTTTGCAGAGAGAATGCCAGTGGCTTTGACATTGCAAGGGCACAGGGATACTAGTTAGCACCAAGCAAGGAGACGCCACTTAATTACCGGGTAGCATCTTATTGCCCTGGGTTGTCTAGCAATCAACCATCTGTTAATAGTACTGTACTGTTTCACAGTAACACATTTCTCGTGTCTTTCACATCCCACAAGAATTACCAGAATTGTAAATGTAAAATCATTTTGTTCTAAATTAAATCTTTTACCATAGCCAACACAAGGAACAGTTATCTTTCCCATAGCCAACTGATCCACTCATTGCCATGTGTGATCCTGGTGGCAGCAATCAATCCCCACTTCATAATTCTTCTTATATACATCTTGCATACAGAATCATTGTACTTTCACAAGTTAACACATCTCTCATACCTATCACAGAGTGACCTTAAATAAATGTCTTATTAGCATTGTAATGCTAATTTTTTTCTATTGGTTGGTTGAGATAATGCTTGTACCATGGGATCAGCAACGTCTTGTAAAGTCCTCGGACGCACTTGTACGCAGATCTATACGCCTCAAAGCTACAACTTGTGATGTAGTCCCTAACTTGTTTAGTCTTTTTTCTTGTTTATAGACAAGTACAAGTACAAGTCAAACATCATGGTGGAACAATGTCTACAGAAGTATTCACATTCCAGTAGCCCTGAAGATCTTTATGGTACCAATGTCCACAGGAGTATCCATGTTCCAGTAGCAATGATGACCTTGATGGTACCAATGTCCACAGGAGTACCCATGATCCAGTAGCAATGACCTTGATGGTACCAATGTCCACAGGAGTATCCATGTTCCAGTAGCAATGACCTTGATGGTACCAATGTCCACAGGAGTACCCATGTTCTAGTAGCAATGACCTTGATATTACCAATGTCCACAGGAGTACCCATGTTCCAGTAGCAATGATGACCTTGATGGTACTAATGTCCACAGGAGTATCCATGTTCCAGTAGCAATGACCTTGATGGTACCAATGTCCACAGGAGTATCCATGTTCCAGTAGCAATGATGACCTTGATGGTACCAATGTCCACAGGAGTATCCATGTTCCAGTAGCAATGCCCTTGATGGTACCAATGTCCACAGGAGTACCCATGTTCCAGAAGCAATGACCTTGATGGTACCAATGTCCACAGGAGTACCCATGTTCCAATAGCAATGACCTTGATGGTACCAATGTCCACAGGAGTACCCATGTTCCAGTAGCAATGACCTGGATGGTACCAATGTCCACAGGAGTATTCACATTCCAGTAGCAATGATGACCTTGATGGTACCAATGTCCACAGGAGTATCCATGTTCCAGTAGCAATGACCTTGATGGTGCCAATGTCCACAGGAGTATCCATGTTCCAGTAGCAATGACCTTGATGGTACCAATGTGCACAGGAGTACCCATGTTCCAGTAGCAATGATGACCTTGATGGTACCAATGTCCACAGGAGTATCCATGTTCCAGTAGCAATGACCTTGATGGTACCAATGTCCACAGGAGTATCCATGTTCCAGTAGCAATGATGACCTTGATGGTACCAATGTCCACAGGAGTATCCATGTTCCAGTAGCAATGCCCTTGATGGTACCAATGTCCACAGGAGTATCCATGTTCCAGTAGCAATGATGCCCTGGATGGTACCAATGTGCACAGGAGTACCCATGTTCCAGTAGCAATGATGACCTTAATGGTACACTGAATGCATTGTGTCCAGTCTATATGATTAGGAGTTATTGATCCACTAGCCAATCACTGATAATGATCGATCACTGGACACCTACAGTGATTTCATCATCAGCTGTTCCTCTGGGCTACACAATATGCCACATACTGCACACTTAGAGCCCTGTATAGTGAAGTCCTTTGAAGCTGTGACATTTCCTCTGGACTACACAATATGCCACATACTGCACACTTAGAGCCCTGTATAGTGAAGTCCTTCGAAGCTGTGACTGTTTCTCTGGGCTACACAACATGACACATACTGCACACTTAGAGCCCTGTACAGTGAAGTCCTTCGAAGCTGTGACAGTTCCTCTTGGCTACACAATATGCCACATACTGCACACTTGGAGCCCTGTATAGTAAAGTCCTTCAGGGCTACAGTATTACACATACTGCACACTTCGTCACATGAACCTGCTCCACGTTCCTTGTTGCTGCTGCTGCTGCTGCTGCTGCTGCTCGCTGAGCAGGTTCTGGCTGCGGCGCGACGACGGGGTTGCGATGGGGGCTGGGGGGTGCGTGGTACACCTCTTGGAGCAGGGGGATGTCTGGTTCTGTGAGGGAACTGAGACTGGTGTCGTACAGGCTCTCGCTGCCCAGGTCCTGCTGCTTGCTGATGTCGGTAACCGTGACGGCGGAGTCGATGCAAGGCTGGACGGCAGGCATGGTGTACAGGAGGATCCGGTTGATGATTTCATTATGCTTGTCCTGGAGGTCAGCATGGACCCCGCTGCCACCGTGACCTCCGACACCTGCAAGGGATGGGGGTATGTTATTGAGTGAGTTGTTTAGTGCTGCTTTCAGTTATATCACAGCATCACTGATTAAAGTTGGAGGAACGCGGTCTTGGAATTATTGATAACGGTCTTCAACAATTTTCTATTTATTAAGAATTCAACACCCATTTTTCATGTATTATGCACTGTACTACATCATAACAGGTGGTAACTAACTTGGTCAATACAAATTTAGATTTAGGGCAACACAAGTATGTCACTAGTGGCTTGGAAACTTGACTTCTTGAGACACAAAATGTCATTTTGAACATTCAGTTACCTTTCATGTTGATATAGACGAGCTGAGAGAGGATGACAGACATGCCCCCAGGTGGCGGCCAGACGACGGACTCGAACATGACAGGGATGATGGGTTTCTTCAAGATGTCTGCCAAGGCCAGTTCGCGGTTACAGTGGTGAGACACCACGTACTTGGGCGTGATGCAGGAGACGAACAGCTGTGGGCAGAATGTACAGTGAGTGAGTGTGTTGGGTTTTACGCCGCTTTTAACAGTATTCCCGTTATATCATGGCGTGTCAGCTTAATGTTGGAGGATTTTTGGTTGGTTGGTTTGTTGTTTAACGCCGCACTCAGCAATATTCCAGCTATATGACGGCGGACTGTAAGTAATCGAGTCTGGACCAGACAATCCAGTGATTGATATCATGAGCATCGATCCACGCAGTTGGGATCAATGACATGCATCAACCAAGTCAGCGAGCCTGACCACCCGATCCCGCAAGTCGCCTTCTACGACAAGCATAGTCGCCTTTTACGGCAAGCATGGGTTGCTGAAGACCTATTCTACTCCGGAATCTTCACAGGTCTCTGGAATCCCGAAGTGATGCAGGTCTCAGACCACGTGGGTGAAACCAATGAGCACGGGTATGGTGCTGACAAACCTAGAAACATAATCAGGGATTCGAACCCACAATATAGGTTTCTGGTGTGCCCAAGGCACGTAGCTCTGCACAATGAATCGTGCATTAGACGACTGAGCCACCCATGCCCCCGGGCAGAATGTACAAATGTAGTGTACAAACATCAAACAATAGTTATCATTGTTACTAATTGTAAGAATACTATAACTTTTACATCACTGTCAAATTCCTGTATTTTGGCATCAATCACACTAAACTAAACTTTCAGATTTTCAACACAAGCCCTCTTCACCGTCAACTACACAACAATCAGTTGTCCCGCAATAGCATTCATTTAGCCCATGGCACTCTCGTACATGAAGGCAGGAGAAACCTCACATCTTTCCACACATAAATCAACTGGAGACAGATGATCTTGGAGGTGGGAGGGAGTACTTCTGATTTAATAGAGGTAGTATTCTTAGAATTATTAACAATGATAACTATTGTTTGATAATTCTTACAAATCCTCTACCTCTATTACATTATTGCCAGAATATACCGAAGGGAAAGGTGGGTTCTGCCTCTAGAATACTCCCTGTATAGTTGACAGCAATTCCAATACCTTCCTGTGATTCCCTCATATAAATCTGCTTCAAATCCCAAAGAGTTTACATTCATTGAATTATTTGAAATCATGCAGTGGAATAATCAGTCAATATGTGATCCTTCTTTAGAACTACCATTTCATTGCTGATAGAGGGCGGGAGGTAGAGGGAGATGGGGAGATGGAGATGGCTCTCCTCCATGATTTAGACACAGTTTCTGAGGCAGAATCAGAGAATCAGGAGACTTGCATCTTTTGCGAGAAAACTTCCAGGCAGTGAGATTTGGGCTGAAAAGATTTTCGTAGAAGATGTCTGACCTGGGTTGATGTAGAAGATCTCGACGAGGAGGTAGTGGGAGTAGATCTTCCATTAGTAGAGACAGAAGTCTGGGAAACCATGGCCTGTTGGGTCAGATCCGGGCAATCAGAATGATGGTTACATCCAAGATCTACTTTTTTAATCACCTTGTCTAGTAGAGACCATGGAGGGAATGCACAAGCAAACAGATCTGTCCAATCCATCGACAGAGCATTGATCTGTAATGCCCTTGGGTCTTGTCCTGGACTGATGTAAATTGGGAGCAGATGATTCAGGCAAGTTGCAAACAGATCCAGACGAAGATGTCTGGATGGAGAGTCCATTCTGTAGCTACAATCCATCTGCATCTTGACAGACTGTCTGCTAGGATGTTCAATTTCCCTGGAATATGTCTCGCTTCCTTCCATCCAGCAATTGTATGGAGGTAAGTAAGTAAGAGGAATGCCCATTGTGACGATGAGTCCACAAAAGGAGGTGTTGGAAGGTGTTCGGTAAAGGAACCCGGGTGTCTAAGGATTGATCCCAAAGTTCATTGATCCAGGTTTGTAGAGGATGTAACTGTAATCTTCCTCTGTAAGTCAGATCCTGGAGAGGAGGGACACCATCTGACCGTGGGGATTGACTGTTTCTGAGCATCGTCAATCATGTGGATCATGGAAACAAAGCAATCCTCGGAGACATAGAATGCCGTTGTGAAGATGGAAACAGGCCCCTATGTAAACTAGGCCCTGAATGGGTGTGAGTTCCAACTTGGAAGGATGAATGAGGAATCCGAGGCATGTCACGAGTTGAGTCAGAAAAGTTCGATTCTAATACAGTTGAGACTTCTTCTGGTCTGCTGCAAGAAAATTTTCTAAGTATCCGTGTAAACAAACCAGACGGAGATGAGCAAAACTGATCACTGGTGCCGTTATTCTGGTGAATAATCATGACGAATCAAAATCCCGAACGGGAGAACTCTAAACTCACAACAACGTCCATTGACTGCAAAGCTAAGACATTTTTGTGATGACTGATGGATCGGCACATGGAGATTGGCATCTTGTAGATCAATACTGAAAAGCCAATCTCCTTGTTTTAGTGTTGAGAGTAGTATCTTGACAGATTCCATCTTGAATCTTGGAGGAGGGATCAGGAAGAATTTGTTCAGCTTCTTGAGATCGAAAATCGTCCACATTTCGGTGGTAATAAAAGCCCTTGCTGGTGTCTGTGTCTTGGAGGAGCTGAATGGCTTGTTTGTCCAGCAATGTGATGATGGCAATAACAGCCACCCTTAGTTTTGCTCCTTCCAGATGGAATCTGCGACAACACAGGAAGTGTAGCTTGTAGCCATGGGATACAAAATATAGGATCCAGTGGTCAGACATAATCAGTTTCCAGTTGGTGGCATAAAACAACAGACTGGACCCGGGGTTGTTATTTTGAAAAGTGGTAGTCCATGGTCTACCCCACAACCTTCCGACTTGAAGCCACTTCTGTAGTCAGATTGAGATTGAGATTGAGGAAAAGAATCTGTTTGGTGTTGGGAATGATCTGTTCATCAGAAAGGTTGAAAGGATTCCTTTCTAGAAGGGATAAACTAGCTGGTGCCCAGAAGGAAGTGTCTCTTGGTCGTTTGGATGATTCATGAGCTTTGACCACTAGGTTGATTGTAGACGCCTGAAGTCTCTCAGCCGTGTCTTTTCTAACCTCATCCACAATCTTCCCAAGTTGATTGGTAAACTAGGTTGTTGATTAGGTGGTGGTGTAGATAGCATGTCAGGTTGAGACATAATGTTGTCTACTTTTTTCTTGGCCGCATCTTTCTTCTTAGCCTTGGTAAGAGACTTGGTGACCTTAGAAGACTGTACCTTCAGTGCGGGATGATTTCCCTGCATTTCCTGCAGGTTAAGTGAGGGTTGCCTGAGATCATAAAAGGGCCATACTTATGACAAGCTGAAGGAGGAGGTGACACCATCTTGAAGAGTTGCAAAACCATCAATACTTACTTAATACTCATGTACTATAAACAGCCAATAAGACTACTACTTTAAAGTAATAAGCTTTTTTACCGAAATGGACAAGAATAGTGTGACTGCAACCAAGTGCTGGAGGAGCAGTACATACACAGGGAAGAAGTGAGGTTTTTGTCGCCTTCACACACTAGAGTACCTAGAGTACCTAGAGACTTGTGCAGAAAATCTGAAAATTTTAGTTAGTGTGATTGAAGCCAAAATACAAGATTTATAGCAGAGATAGATTGAGGTAGAGATTTCATTAGAATTGTTTAGTTTAGTGAGATTGCAGCCAAATTACAGGAATTTGTCAATGATGTTTTAGAGGTAGAGGATTCATAAGTATTACCATAATTAAGGCTCAGTGTTGTAATCATTCATAAAAAATGATGACATTTTGGGTTAAGTACCTGCATCACTTGGGGGTTTCCTCCCGCAATAAAATCACATGCGGTAATGTAACTTAAATACTGCTTACAGCACTACCCGTGAAGATCCGGGTTAGAATAGGTCCTCAGCAACCCATTCTTGCCGTTAAGGTGACTAACGGGATCGGGTGGTCAGGCTCGCTGACTTGGTTGATGCATATCATTGTATCCCAGATGCGTGGATCAATGCTCATGATATTAATCTGTCAGATTGTCTGGTCGAAACTGCCGTCATATAGCTGGAATATTGCAAAGTGTGGCGTTTAACAACAACAAATATACACGCTTACAGCACCCTTGTGTTGTCTCACTCACTGTGGTGTGAACCCAGCTCACACTCTATCTTCTCTGACATCATCTTGAACAACTCACCACACAGTTCCGAATGCCCTCATCGATCTTGAGGTTGAGCTGATCCCCGCCGCCCATCTGACCAATGTCCATCCAGCAGGTGAACCCCGCCCTCTCCAGGCGTGCCCGGAGACTCTGGACGTCGTCCTGGGAGTCCCACTGGTAGCTCAGGAAGATCTGCGGCAGGTCCGACTCACTCTCTGTTACAAACATACAGCCAAGATGCACTGTAGCTTGCCTTCAATGTTCAATACTGTTTATTTCAATTATTTTATATACATACTCACCACCAAAAGAAATGCAAACCATAGAAACATAGAGAGAAGTAAGTATGATAAAAAGAGATGTTTCCAATGTGTACCACTTAGTGACTAAACAATCAGTCAAGTGTTACCATAGAGTGTCTTTATTCTTATTATATTCTGCAAAAAGGTTTTCCAAACTTTACATGCTAATCCTGCATGAGACAAATAGTGCATTCAAGTCATGGATCTATGACATCATAAGTGATGCATACATGAGCGTCACTTCACACAACATACCAGTATGTTTATTTGTGCATCCAACCAAACTAATATCTGTTGAATAAGAGCAATTCTTCATATATTAGCTAACATTTATGGTTTTCGCGTTTCTTTTGTTGGTGAGTATATAGGTGTCTCAGCAACCTTTTAAGATATTTAACTTGCATGCTCAGCTTCAAAAGCCAAATGGTTTCACGAGAGGTTTCAAAAATGAAGTAAGACTAAAAAGAGTATGTAACAACCAGAACAGGCTAAAAAAATCTAAATATGCCACACATACTGATGGAAACAAATAAGGGAACATTGAAAAATATAGGGAAATAAGTTTTACTGTCGGTACTTTTGAAAAAGCATGCATACAAATTCAACACATCAGAATCAAATGGTGAGATGTGTTTGCGTGCAATGTTTCCAACATGTATTTGGGAACCCATGATAGCATATCATTTTGCAGTGTCTGAAACTAAGTGTTCCCTTATTTATTTCCATCAGTATATACTACTCAAAAGAAGTTAAGGATCACCTGATTCTTTCATATTACAATAGTTAATCTCTCATGCCATGACAGATTAACATTACCAATATGAAAGAACTGGGTGATCCTTAACTTCTTTTGCGTAGTATATATACTGCATCCTTACTATCATACCTCCACTACTTATTAACCCGATAGTCTGGTAGTCTAAACATGTGGAGGCTTGAGGCTGCAGACATGGGATTGGGGACAATATCAAAGGCATGTTTCACATATGCGCTGCAGTGACAGTACATAGGCATTGTTGCATACCAAGTTGTCAAGCCTAATGGTGCATGTCCACATGAATCTGGTGTGTGGTTATTGAACGCTATCTCTAGGTATGTAGTGGATGTGAGAGTAATGACTGAATCATGCAAAGCGACACGCACCCTTGGCCTTCTGGATGACGTCCACAATGTCGTCTCGCTTGATCTGTTCCAGGAACACCATCATGAGGTCGACCGAGAGGGAGGTGTTCCCGCTGGTCAGCACCCAGTCGGTCAGCAGGGCCAGGGCTGGGTTTAGATCCTCGTTGATCTGGTCAATCCGAGCCTGTTTGTAACCTGCAGGACAAACAGGCAGATCTTCATGACTTTCTAATTCAATGGTCACTGCACAACTCGGATGATCGTGCATGCGAGTGGTCTAACCCATTATTGTAAGTCAAACTTGCTGATATATTGTATGATTCACCACTTCCGAGGTCAAATGCTCAAAGGTACATAAAGGTTGAGGTAAGGTTAAATGGGGTTTAACTTCGCGTTTAAGATTAATGTGCCTTCCGTCCAACACCGTTGTCGAAGTTGAAGGGGCCTACGTAAATACTTCAAGTTATCCGAGGTTCGACACAAACGGAAATGATGACTAAAGAAGGAATATGCAAGGACCAAGCTTTTACTTTGAAACAAGTGTAAGTTTGACACATCAACTCAGCTGTTGACTTTGGTGGGTGATACCCTATGTGCCTCTACGGTATAGAGTGAACTTAGGTTCATGGTAGTCAACACGTGCATCTAGCAATAGAATTCACACTAACACTCATTTCCACTGGTAAGTATTTCTAAAATCTAGATGATTCCGTCTAACTTTACAAGACAAATACTCTGAATACAAGTTCACGGCCATAACTGCATTTTAGATGTTCCTGAGTCTAATGTCTGCAACTAGTGCGGACACAGACTACCTGAATCATTTTCTAGGAAACATCTGTGGAATTAAATACTGACAATTTTTTTAAAATAATTAACATAATATACCTGTAAAAAATTTCACCCTCACCATATCATTATGAATGGGTCTTCAGCAACTCATGTTTGCCGTTAAAGGCGACTATGCTTGTCGTAAGAGGCTACTAATGGGATCGGGTGGTCAGACTCGCTGATTTGGTTGATGAATGTCATCGTATCCCAATTACGTGGATCGATGCTCATGATGTCAACCAGTGGATTGTCTGGTCAGGACTCAATTATTTACAGACCGCCATCATATAACTAGAATATTGCTGAGTGCGACGTTAAACAATAACAAACAAACCTGGTCAAATATTAAATCAGCAATGAATCGAAAATAATACCTCCCTCCTGCAATTTGATAAATCGGGATAAAAATCTAATAAAGGTTTCCCATAAAGGTTTACTTGGCCTTTTTACAAACAGTAGTTTCTCCCATGATGGTGTTTTCAGAAGTCTAAAACCAAAACCTTTAAAGCATCACACAGCCTTACAAATGAATTCCCTTTCGGCACACATCAGCAGTACAAATGAGTAAACATTGTATACTGTCATGTGTTTTGTTAAACCTACAGCATCGCCAATGATGAAATGGCCACTTGACCACCTGGTACCTACCCATGAGCATACGGTCATCTTGACCCCTGGTACCTAACCGTGAGTTTACAGTCATCTTGACCTCTGATACCTGGTTCAACCTACCCATGAGCATACAGTCATCTTGACCCCTGGTACCTAGTACTACCTACCCATGAGCATACAGTCATCTTGACCCCTGGTACCCAGTCCTACCTACCCATGAGTTTACGGTCATCTTGACCCCTGGTACCCAGTCCTACCTACCCATGAGTTTACGGTCATCTTGACCCCTGGTACCTAGTACTACTTACCCATGAGCATACAGTCATCTTGACCCCTGGTACCCAGTCCTACCTACCCATGAGTTTACAGTCATCTTGACCCCTGGTACCTAGTACTACCTACCCATGAGTTTACGGTCATCTTGACCCCTGGTACCTAGTACTACCTACCCATGAGTTTACGGTCATCTTGACCCCTGGTACCTAGTACTACCTACCCATGAGTTTACAGTCATCTTGACCCCTGGTACCCAGTCCTACCTACCCATGAGTTTACAGTCATCTTGACCCCTGGTACCTAGTACTACCTACCCATGAGTTTACGGTCATCTTGACCCCTGGTACCTAGTACTACCTACCCATGAGTTTACGGTCATCTTGACCCCTGGTACCTAGTACTACCTACCCATGAGTTTACGGTCATCTTGACCCCTGGTACCTAGTACTACCTACCCATGAGTTTACGGTCATCTTGACCCCTGGTACCCAGTCCTACCTACCCATGAGTTTACGGTCATCTTGACCCCTGGTACCTAGTACTACCTACCCATGAGTTTACAGTCATCTTGACCCCTGGTACCCAGTCCTACCTACCCATGAGTTTACGGTCATCTTGACCCCTGGTACCTAGTACTACCTACCCATGAGTTTACGGTCATCTTGACCCCTGGTACCCAGTCCTACCTACCAATGAGTTTACGGTCATCTTGACCCCTGGTACCCAGTCCTACCTACCCATGAGTTTACGGTCATCTTGACCCCTGGTACCTAGTACTACTTAATCATGAGTTTACGGTCATCTTGACCCCTGGTACCTAGTACTACTTACCCATGAGTTTACGGTCATCTTGACCCCTGGTATCCAGTCCTACCTACCCATGAGTTTACGGTCATCTTGACCCCTGGTACCTAGTACTACTTAATCATGAGTTTACGGTCATCTTGACCCCTGGTACCTAGTACTACTTACCCATGAGTTTACGGTCATCTTGACCCCTGGTATCCAGTCCTACCTACCCATGAGTTTACGGTCATCTTGACCCCTGGTACCTAGTACTACCTACCCATGAGTTTACAGTCATCTTGACCCCTGGTACCCAGTCCTACCTACCCATGAGTTTACGGTCATCTTGACCCCTGGTACCTAGTACTACTTACCCATGAGTTTACAGTCATCTTGACCCCTGGTACCCAGTCCTACCTACCCATGAGTTTACGGTCATCTTGACCCCTGGTACCTAGTACTACTTACCCATGAGTTTACGGTCATCTTGACCCCTGGTACCCAGTCCTACCTACCCATGAGTTTACGGTCATCTTGACCCCTGGTACCTAGTACTACCTACCCATGAGTTTACGGTCATCTTGACCCCTGGTACCTAGTACTACCTACCCATGAGTTTACAGTCATCTTGACCCCTGGTACCTAGTACTACCTACCCATGAGTTTACGGTCATCTTGACCCCTGGTACCTAGTACTACCTACCCATGAGTTTACAGTCATCTTGACCCCTGGTACCTAGTACTACCTACCCATGAGTTTACGGTCATCTTGACCCCTGGTACCTAGTACTACTTACCCATGAGTTTACAGTCATCTTGACCCCTGGTACCCAGTCCTACCTACCCATGAGTTTACGGTCATCTTGACCCCTGGTACCTAGTACTACCTACCCATGAGTTTACGGTCATCTTGACCCCTGGTACCTAGTACTACTTACCCATGAGTTTACGGTCATCTTGACCCCTGGTACCCAGTCCTACCTACCCATGAGTTTACGGTCATCTTGACCCCTGGTACCTAGTACTACTTACCCATGAGTTTACGGTCATCTTGACCCCTGGTACCCAGTCCTACCTACCCATGAGTTTACGGTCATCTTGACCCCTGGTACCTAGTACTACTTAATCATGAGTTTACGGTCATCTTGACCCCTGGTACCTAGTACTACCTACCCATGAGTTTACAGTCATCTTGACCCCTGGTACCCAGTCCTACCTACCCATGAGTTTACGGTCATCTTGACCCCTGGTACCTAGTACTACTTACCCATGAGTTTACGGTCATCTTGACCCCTGGTACCCAGTCCTACCTACCCATGAGTTTACGGTCATCTTGACCCCTGGTACCTAGTACTACCTACCCATGAGTTTACAGTCATCTTGACCCCTGGTACTTAGTACTACCTACCCATGAGTTTACAGTCATCTTGACCCCTGGTACTTAGTACTACCTAACCATGAGTTTACGGTCATCTTGACCCCTGGTACTTAGTACTACCTACCCATGAGTTTACAGTCATCTTGACCCCTGGTACTTAGTACTACCTACCCATGAGTTTACAGTCAACTTGACCCCTGGTACTTAGTACTACCTAACCATGAGTTTACGGTCATCTTGACCCCTGGTACCCAGTACTACCTACCCATGAGTTTACGGTCATCTTGACCCCTGGTACCCAGTCCTACCTACCCATGAGTTTACAGTCATCTTGACCCCTGGTACCTAGTACTACTTAATCATGAGTTTACGGTCATCTTGACCCCTGGTACCTAGTACAGTGGTCCCTCGCTACAACGCTACCAATGGGGTCCAAATAATTGGTGGGCGTTATAGACGATGAGCCGTTTAACCGAGGCCGAGGCGGGGGAGCGCGCTCGGCAAATCTCAAATCATCAATGTGTTTATCTCACGTCACGTCAAAATAGTATATATTTTTTATGGACCTAGATCTACCTGTAATATCATTCATTTATTAAATCTGTCACATTTCACAATGTCTGAAATACGTATTCCATTTCAATTTATCATTTTTTATCGATAAATTAAAAAATTATTCACTATTTCCCGCGATGTTATTGAAAATAAAATTCTCGGACACACATTTCGACAACGGGTCCGCATCGAACATGTCAAAGAGCAAAATAAAGACGTTTTAAGCAAATCTTTAAATATATTATACAAAGTGATAAATAACATCAACAAAAACATATCTAAAAGTAATCAAACTTACATCTAAGTTATTATTTCCATCGTTCCGTGCGATCGCGTGTAATGTAAGTCAAATGACATCTCGGCTTTCGTCGCCTTGAATTCTCGGCTCGGACACAACGTTTAATGCAAAAATATATGCATGAAAAATCTTTGTCATAGCTCGTAACCTAGCATGATACATTCGCGAAGTTCCATATTTTTAATATATATCGTGATTTCCTGCTTAAAACATTCAGAATAACACGATTTAACAAAAAATCTTTCGCCAACTTCTGAAATTTATCAAACACGAGCTTGGTATCACAGCTATAATTTGATTGGCTGCCTGAGGTCACATGCTCAAAATTGACCAATCACGAAACTTGTAGCAGATTTCGGCAAGAAAGCGTCATTAGAAACAAATTTTAATCCAATGAAATCTCTTGTTATAACTACGGAAAAAAACCAGGCGATGTTACGAAAGCGATTACGAAATGAATGACTGCCGTGTTGTGACAGCAACTACATGTGTGTGACAGTGTCGCCTCAAATTGGATTGCCCACTAATTAAGAATATAAACTTCGCTTGTGGTTCTCTTTTATTGCATGCATGCGCTTCTAAGATCAAAGGATGTATAGTGTGAAAAGTTAACTAGTTGAACAATCGTATTTCCAGGACTTGCCGCGGATGTTTTCAAACAGATTATTAGAACTCCATTCAGCGATAAACGGTTTATTATGCAATGAGAAGCGTTATGTGCAAATGAACAACGAACAACAATACAATTATGTCTGTGTAAAACTCCCAGTAATAAAAGTGTACATAAATTTTGGGAGCCATGCGTTACCGCGCGTAGTAACCGAGATAGCGCTTTATCGAAGAGCACAATAGCGAGGGATCACTGTACTACCTAACCATGAGTTTACGGTCATCTTGACCCCTGGTACCTAGTACTACTTAATCATGAGTTTATGGTCATCTTGACCCCTGGTACCTAGTACTACCTAACCATAAGTTTACGGTCATCTTGACCCCTGGTACCTAGTACTACCTACCCATGAGTTTACAGTCATCTTGACCCCAGGTACCCAGTCCTACCTACCCATGAGTTTAGCCAGTGCTGCCCAGTCCTGGTCGTCGGCCCCACTGTTGAGCAGCTTGGCCGCCCCCTTCATCCACGAGGGCAGGTTGGGGACGTTCTTCTCTATGTTGCCCCCTGTGATCTCCAACGTCAATCGAGGCAGTATCGGATCGGGCATATCTGGAGAACAAGTGCATCATTTGACCTTACAGACAGCAAGTCCTAAAAAAGACGATATTGTTGAAGTTTGCCCCATGATTATGATGTATTTCTCAGGGAAATGCAAGCATGGAATAGTTACATATTTCCTTATATCAACTAAATTGTTTCATAAGACTTTAGCTGTCATGGCTGGTGGGTGTTGCAACACTCAGCCTTCCAATTGTGGGTGTTCTTCAACTTGTTGCATATGTACTACTCAAGACAACTTGTTTCATCCCCTTACACAATGAGCAACAATTTGAAGAAAAGGCATTAATATTCACATGAAACTTATCCAGAATTCTTTAAATCTTTATCTGAACATCTCACATATTTTTGTATCGTTGGGAAGAGAAATGCTCCAGACCTTTACCTATTTTGGGTTGAGGAAACCATTTCCTTACATCAGCAGTTTTCACCCGTCTATGTTCACAGCAAACAATCTGGAACAACAATGGATGACTTCTGATGCAGTCCGCAGATACATTCACATACACTGGTGTGGACCTGACATCAGGGCTGGCTATAGTTCTTCTGAGTCTACAACACTGTATCATGCCTTGTGGGGAGACACGGGGATCTGAGTGCATGTCATGCTACCTTACACATTGTTTCAGCCACAATCCTGGGTGACGGCGTCAGACACTTAGATCTCACATTGATGGTCAGACACCCTGACAAGACACTCTGTAGGGATTCTGGGTTAAACTGTTCCCTTAGTAACCCATGATGGTTGTAAGAGGCATCTAAGTCGATTGAGTGGTGAATCTCGGTGACTTGGTTGTCACTGTTGTCACGGTGACTGTTCCCTGACAGCATGGATGATTGCAGTCCAGACTTGACTGCAGGTGAGGTGAGGCGTAACGTCGCGTCTAAGATTATTGCACTTATATTGAGGTGTCTGTGTGTGCATGTCCGGACTGATTGACAGTGCTAGCCCACTGAGATACCTACAGCAGTTCAACATGAATACCCCACTCAAACACAGTATACCGACCAGCCCTTAGCCCCTTAATGCTGAGCGCCAGACGGAGTAACAAAAAGTACCATCTTTTAACGTCTTTTGGTATGATGCGGCCAGGGATCGAACACCGATCTTCTGCTCTCCAGGCAGACGCTCTACCACTAGACCACAGAGGCGGTCAGCCTTGACTGCAAGCTGCCGTCATACAGCTGGAAGAGAGCGGAGTGTGGCATTAAACAACTGTGACATCCTACCTTGGAGGTGAGACATTCGTCCAGGTCCAGGAAGTGGAGGCAGGCCTCCTGGGTACACCCGGCCAGGCCGTGCCGCTCACACACCTTGTCACACGTACATCGCAGACACATCTTGCAGGCAATCCTCTTCATCCACAGCTGCCGCAGGTCAGTCAGTGTAGACTCAAGGAAGTTCCGCACCTGGATGCAGAAGGTCACAACCAATTATGACTTTGGTAATCAAAGGGAGACAATCATGATTCGAACTGTGAAGATCAAGGGTAGAATAGGTCTTCAGCAACCCATGCTTGCCAAAAAAGGTAACTATGCTAGTCATAAGAGGCGACTAATGGGATTGGGTGGTCAGGTTTGCTGACTTTGTTGGTGCATGTCATCGTATCCCAATTGCGTGGATAGATGCTCATGATGTCAATCAGTGGATTGTCTGGTCCAGACCCGATTATTTACAGACCGACGTCATATAGCTAGAATATTGCTGAGTGAGGCGTTAAACAACAAACAAACAAGAAACAAACAATCATGATTCACTGTCCAGATCTCCAGTTCGGCCCTATCGAATGCACCCTTAGCCTGTGTATGAAGTACTCCTTTACTTTAAATAATTTATAGTAAAACAGATTTCAGTGAATGGAGATTAACCTTGGCACAGGCTGCGGAGAGGGGGTTGTAGCCAGGGTTGGTGTAGATGGAGTCGGAGATGCCCACGACGACAACCTGAAACACATCCACATGTACACGTGAAACAAATCATGGCACTTTAATCTCTGGACATACCTTCAAACTAGAAACATCTCTTCTGAATGAATATATATTCCCATATACTACCCTGCGCTGTTCACCATGTGGCATGAACAGCTAGTGTACCCTTAACCTGTGGTATGCTAAGCAAGACCTACCTTAAACCCATGGTATGCTAAGCAAGACCTACCTTTAACCCATGGTATGCTAAGCAAGACCTACCTTTAACCCATGGTATGCTAAGCAAGACCTACCTTTAACCCATGGTATGCCAAGCAAGACCTACCTTTAACCTGTGGTATGCTAAGCAAGACCTACCTTTAATCCGTGGTATGCTAAGCCAGACCTACCTTTAACCCGTGGTATGCTAGGCAAGACCTACCTATAACCCATGGTATGCTAAGCAAGACCTACCTTTCATCTGTGGTATGCTAAGCAAGACCTACCTTTAATCTGTGGTACGCTCTAGGTGACAGTTCCAACACAAAGTCATGAGAGTCGTCCAGAAAGAATTTGGCTATTCGACTGTAGAGATAGGGGTCTCGGCCTCCACTGTCCTGGGACCACCTGATGGCTCGGGTCAGGATCCGATAGAACAGGCCGTCTACAACACATGGTCATGTGACTGTCACCATGGTTTCATTGCAAACATCTACTGCAGGGGTTAAGAAAACAACGTCTGAAACTTACACCCCCCTTAGTTGATATAAAGAAACATTATCTCTCCAATGTTTGCCACATGATTTACTAAGCACTAAGATGAACCTACCTGGGAGGAAGTTGTTGAAGTCGAGGTAGAACACAGCCACATTGTCAGAGAGAGTGTACAGGTGGCGCTGATCATCCAGCTTCTCCAGCCGCATGGGGACGTAGTAACTGTGTGTCTCCTCCCGGTGAGTCTGAAACAAACATGTCTCAACATATAGCCTCTCAAGAAATACTTGGTGTCATGTATTGTTTGTTTGTTTGTTGTTTAACACTGCACTCAGCAATATTCCAGCTATTTGACAGCTGTCTGTAAATAATCGAGTATGGACCAGACAATCCAGTGACTGATTTCATGAGCAGCGATCCACGCAATTCCGATACAACGAGATACAGCGAGCCTGACCATCTGATCCTGTTAATCACTTCTTACAAGAAGCTTAGTCGCCTCTTACAAAAATCATGAGTTGCTGAAGACACGTCTTCACGGGGATGATGCATTAAGAAGCCAAGGAAGCCATTGAAAGGGTAGTAAATAACTATGGCCATGCAACAGTTACGGAACAGGTCGTTAGAGTGAGTTGGTTAACATGCTTTGAACAGTTACATCATGTCGTGTATGCTTGATGTGGGAGGAAAGCCCGTCTTAGACGTTTACCACTTTGGTGAAACCCATGAGCATGGCGCTGACTAAGCTAGAAACATAATCAGGGCAGACCGGGTTTCGAAACCAATGATCACAAGGACGCATGCCCAAGGGATGTAACTCTGCACAGCGAATTGCAGCACCTGAGACAACTGGGCCCCACCTGATGCAAAGATGAAGGAAGCCGGTGTCATGTATACAGATATATAGTGTCATTATTGAAGGGTCATCTTGGTATGTGGGATGCCAAACATAAACACATGCCAACAAGTGTCAATAGGTCGGAGTATGTTGACAATGTGAAAGAATGGACAATGACAATGAAAGTGCAAGATTGAAGGTGATGGGAAAACTACCCAAAGCCCACCTAGGTGCTGTTGTACAAAGCGATCTTAGCGTTAAGTTGATCGTAACTCCCATACCTTACGATAGTCGTAGCACTGAGGTTGTTTTGTACAACCACACCTAGAGGTTTAGCAAATGCATGTGCAATACATGTCAGTATGACAGCTTTCACAAACATTCCAGAGTTTGGGTAAACTGGGCTTGTGCCACTTTGAACAGTATCTCAGTTATTTCCCAGTGTGTCAGCTTAGTGTTGGAGAGAAGTCCACGGACGTAGGTTGTAGAGAAGCACAGTCAGGGCAAGTCTGGAATTGGAATGAGATGAGGCCAGTAAGGTGACGTAGGGAGTATTGGGTCACTGGCATTACCTGTCCTCGTGGTGGCAGTCTGCGGCAGATGAGATCAAACTTGTCCATGAGAGCTAGCAGGGTGGGCTTCTGGTCCAGGGCATCACTCCACAGCATGTCCAGGAGCGGCTCCTCCAGGATCCCAAGCTTCTCCAGCCGGTCCCACTTGTCACTCAGGAGGTCCCACTGGGGCAGAGCAGAACGCTTAGTTACAGAACACACCACAGAGGCAGAACAGGATACTTACAGAACACACCACAGAGGCAGAGCAGAACACTTAGTCACAGAACACACCACTGAGGCAGAGCAGAACGCTTAGTTACAGAATACACTACTGAGGCAGAGCAGAACGCTTAGTTACAGAATACACTACTGAGGCAGAGCAGAACGCTTAGTTACAGAATACACTACTGAGGCAGAACAGGATAGTTACAGAACACACCATAGAGGAAGAACAGAACACTTAGTTACAGAACACACCACAGAGGCAGAGCAGAATGCTTAGTCATGGAACACACTACTGAGGCAGAACAGAACACTTAGTTACAGAACACACTACTGAGGCAGAACAGAACACTTAGTTACAGAACACTTAGTCACAGAACACACCACAGAGGAAGAACAGAACACATAGTTACAGAACACACCACAGAGGAAGAACAGAACACTTAGTTACAGAACACACTACTGAGGCAGAACAGGATAGTTACAGAACACTTAGTCACAGAACACACCACAGAGGAAGAACAGAACACATAGTTACAGAACACACCACAGAGGCAGAGCAGAATGCTTAGTCATGGAACACACTACTGAGGCAGAACAGAACACTTAGTTACAGAACACACTACTGAGGCAGAACAGAACACTTAGTTACAGAACACTTAGTCACAGAACACACTACAGAGGAAGAACAGAACACATAGTTACAGAACACACCACAGAGGAAGAACAGAACACTTAGTTACAGAACACACCACAGAGGCAGAAGAGGATAGTTACAGAACACACCACAGAGGCAGAATAGGATAGTTACAGAACACACCACAGAGGCAGAACAAGATAGTTACAGAACACACCACTGAAGTACAGCCACTTTAATTCTCATTCTCTGCATGGAACAAAACACCATTAACAGATCTTAACACATCCACCCTGGTCACCACCCGGTTTTACCTGATCGTGAGTGGACCGAGCAGTGATGATCCTCCTGAACATATCCACCAGCCACTGTGGCTTCAGGATGACCGTGTTGCGGAGCACGTTGTGGGCAGGGCCGGCGCTGCCATAGTGGATGATGACGCCAAGGTCGTGGTAGAACTCCAGGAGTGTCGTCACCTCCTCTGTGTCTGTGATGCCATGGTTACTTGCCATCTCGGTGATCTGAGAGAAGCAAGCGAGTAAATATTGCTGTATCATGGTAGCTTGTAAAGGTTGGAGTCTGGACCAGGCAAGCCAGAGACGGAAAACTTGAACATTGATCCATGCCAGTCGGGCACACTGACAAGCAATCACGCCAGTCACAGTATTTACCTCCCCTACATCACATTACATATACTAGTCCATGTGTTTCTACTTGATCGTGGCAACAATGTTCTGAAAATAGCAGTCATGTTCCATGGCCTTCTGTCATAAGAGGCGACTAATGGGATTGGGTGGTCAGGCTCGCTGACGTGGTTGAGGCATGTCATCGTATCCCAATTGCGGGGATCAATGTTCTGGTCCAGACTCCATTATTTACATACCACCGCCATACAGCTGGAATACTGCTGGGTGCAGCAAACAAAAATTTACCTGAATCACAGCAACAATGTTACACTGCATCCCCATCACAGCGACAATGTTACACTACATCCCCATCACAGCGACAATGTTACACTTAATATTCCATAAACAGCAACACTTATACAGTGTTTCCTGATCACAGCGACAATGTTACACTGCATCCCCATCACAGCGACAATGTTACACTTAATATTCCATAAACAGTAACACTCATACACTGTTTCCTGATCACAGCGACAATGTTACACTTAATCCCATAAACAGCAACACTTATACAGTGTTTCCTGTTAACAGCAACAATGTTACACTACATCCCCATCACAGCAACAATGTTACACTACATCCCCTTTACAGCAACAATGTTACACTACATCCCCTTTACAGCGACAATGTTACACTACATCCCCATCACAGCAACAATGTTATACTACATCCCCATCACAGCAACACTTATACATTGTTACACTGCATCCCCATCACAGTGACAATGTGTTGAAGCTAACCTGGTCGACGGTGGCGTAGTGTGTGCCTGTGTCTGCCCTCTCCGTGACATCCTGCTCAAACTTGAGCCACTTGATCGGCATCTGTTCCCCCATGTACGACTCCTGGCTGGCGATCCGCTCGATGTGCTGACGCAGCTTATCAATCTGGAGCAAGTCAAGTGGATAATGATAATAATAATAATATATTTAGGCCATTTATATTGCGCATATTTCCATACCACACAGGGGCATGCTCAAAGGGCTATTATTACCCCAGTCACTGGATTAGTGTGCACTCAACAATCATTCTCAGCTCCCTGGGGAGTATACAAGCCATCCTGTGTGTTAGGGGCTAGAAGGCACATTTCGAACAAAGTCACTTGCCCGAGGAGACACCACAATTGGATGATGACTTAGGGCCATGAAGATGACAGAATGCACATACAGTCAAACCTGGTTATCTTGAAAGTACCAATATCTCGAATCTATTCTCCATCCCGACCACCTTACATTACAATGTTAATGCCTCTTTATCTCAAATGTCCGGATATCTCGAAGTTACTTCACAGTCCCGCTAGGTTCGAGATAATGGAGTTCGACTGTACTTCCAGCCACCAAGGCTCCACATTAAATCAAAGTCCTCCAGCTGTAGTCTCAGTCACGTACTTTGTTTACCCCTGGCAAACTTTGTGTGCTAGCAATTAGGTGCCTCACTCTGAGAGTGTGAGTTTGATTCCAGGATGAGACTGAACCCAAAAAGTTTTAGTTTTACTCCCAAATACCCTCGCGATAGTACAAGGGTTAATTGGGGATTCAGAACGAAATAACCTTGGTAGGCAAATTTGGAAATGTTCAAAGTAGGGATTCATTTCAAAGTTTTTATTTTAATAGTTCAGAGGTATTCTAACATTGTATTCAAAACAATAATGTTCAACTAAGCATCAGAGTCAGTGAACTGTGTCTGAGTGTTAAACTGTGGCATGGTAGCTCAGCCAGCTAGCACTAGTGTATCTTCCTGAGTTAACTGACTGTAAAAGTCCTGTTTCCACCCTTGCCAAAATAAGCTGGAATTCTTGGCTCGATTGTAGCGCCACTAGTGGCAATTACGAGTTATGTCCCTTCTATGTCCCTCCTATTGACCAATAAGATTCCACTTATATCACTTGCATTTGCTTCAAATAAAATGGTGGCACCCAGTAAAGACAATCTTATTGATAATCAAGATATATATTCCAATAAAATGGGTCTTACTTCGCAAACTGCATCAAATCACATGAGCACCCAGATTAAAACCATGAAAAGATTTGGAAAATATCTGTTCACATTATGTTGTCGGTAGACATGCTTTGCAAATCCTGCAATCGACTGAAATCTGCACTGCAGTTAACGAACCAAATGTCGATTTCGTTATGCAATTTTGATTGGACTATGTATGGACTCATCAGTCCAGCCAAAACATAACTCAATAATTCCAGCCTTGTTTGGACCAAGGGTGGTAACTAGACTTTTATAGTCAGTTAACTCCTTTGACTCAGGAAGATGGCACTAGTGTGGACTAGCACAAGCATATTCCTTGTCGCTATATAAGTGCAATAATGTTGAACCACATTTCACTTCACTGTACTTAGGAAAACTCTTCTCATTCGATTATTTGTATCAAGGGCTAACGAGGTCACAGTCATATTGTCGTGGTTGTTGATTTTAATCTCCTGAGCTAGACAAACCCTGTGGTAAGATGGATAGTTTTGCTGACACGAGGCTTTGGTTGCGAATTGGTCCAGGGTATCTATGAAACTAAGATGGAGATATCATCCCAGTACACTGGACTCCCGACAATACCTTGTGCTCTTTAAGCACAAGAATCCCTAAGGACGTAGAAAGTGGGAATAACCTGCACATCCTCTCCACCCAGGGAGTTATTTTCCACAGCAAAGAATGGCGTCACGATGTGCTGTGTGTAGGGCTGGCCTGTCAGGAACTCTCGCAGCTGGTTGAACTTATCGGCAACCTGTTGCAAAACACAGAAATAAACCTCAGTCCCTGGGCATTGAAAACAAGTCAATTTTTATCTGAGTACAAGAAAATCTTGACTTCATCTGAATCTTAGTTTGTAACAAACATCGAGGCCACCATTGCAAATGTTTTCTTGAAAGCCTCACTGGCAATACACACAAAATATCCCCATTATCCGCTTCATTTTCTTTCTTCAAATAAATCATTATTGGTCAGAACGAGGCTGCAAAAAACACTCAACTAATTCTGGTGGGTAATTGCACGTGTAATGAAAAAACATGTAGCACACTTCACTTGATTTTAAAAAACTAAGTGTATTTCATACTCATATTTACTCACCTGACATGAGACAGGTGTATCATGACCCCTGTGCTATGTATCGGTACATGAAACAGGTGTATCGTGACCCCTGTGACATGAGACAGGTGTATCATGACCCTTCGTGACATGAGACAGGTGTATCGTGACCCCTGTGACATGAGACAGGTGTATCGTGACCCCCTGTGATATGTATTGGTACATGAGACAGGTGTATCATGACCCTTCGTGACATGAGACAGGTGTATCGTGACCCCTGTGACATGAGACAGGTGTATCGTGACCCCCTGTGATATGTATTGGTACATGAGAGGTGTATCGTGACCCCTGTGACATGAGACAGGCGTATCGTGACCCCCTGTGATATGTATTGGTACATGAGACAGGTGTATCGTGACCCGTGACATGAGACAGGTGTATCGTGACCCCTGTGACATGAGACAGGTGTATCGTGACCCCCATAATATATGAGACTGACATAATATATGAGACTGACATATCATGACCCCCTGTGACATGAGACAGGTGTATCATGACCCCCTGTGATATGTATCGGTACATGAGACAGGTGTATCGTGAACCCCCATGTATCGTGATCCCCGTGTATCGTGACCCCCCGGTACATGAGACGGGTGTATTGTGATCCCCCGTGTATCGTGACCCCTAGTATCTCACCAGCTCCATCTGAGCATCATGGTCCAGGGCCAGACTGTCTCGGTGAGTGCCCACGATGAAGATGGGCGGGGATAGTTTGGTGTTGTCGACGCTGTTGCGCATGTTCTCAGCAGCATGTGCATGTATTGAGCGCAGCCAGAAGTCCATGTAGTCGAGAGTGGACAGGCTGTCCTCGGCTTCATCCTGCAAACAGGGAGACTTTCATCAGATTTTTAATGCAGGAAATGGTTCTGTCCAATATTATTCATCTTTTCCCCATGTCAAGATCATCACTTGACATGAACACACAATGCCATTTAGAAAGTAGTCAAATTTAACAAATGTTATATTTGGGAGAACACTTTCTTAGTAAGACACAAATTCTAGTACTTTTTTGGAGTTGAGTCCCATCCTCAGAGTGAGGAACCTTACACGACTTCAGTCATCTTACCCACTCAGTCACCAGTGTGTGCTGGTGATTAGATCACTGTGACGGCACTGTGTATTCACAGCTTTCGGCCATGGGAGCTGTGGCAATTGTACCAGACTTTCATTTTTGGAGGAAGTCTAAATGCCTGAGTGGGTTAGATCGCTGACTTTGTGTGGTGGTGATTAGGTGCCTCACTCTGAGAGTGTGGGTTCGAAACCTGGATGGGGCTCAGCCTACAAAGAAGTACTAGAAACACTAAGGACAGGTTATTTGTAGTCATTATCACTCTGCACCAAGGTTATTATAGATACGTGAACCCATGACAAATCCATTTTATGGACAGGTGGGTTGAGTTTGGTATTTCCTGGATATTCTCACAGTTTTCCAGTCGCTTATCTGTATCTCTTCTCCCAATACTGATTGTCATGTCTCTTCCACTTTTGTATGCAATTGATGGTCAATGAGTTGCGAGGGCATGTTCGAATGTTTTATTGTGAAATAAACCATGCTTCGTTCTTCACAGTTATCGCATAGCTATCTTATATTCCACAATAATGAATGTAACGTGATCATGTATACCACTCCAAAGAAGAATAACAGATTTATATCATAGAGCCATAGTTAATCTTATCACAACAGATTAACAATAGTCATATGAAAAAATCTGGCGTTCTTTAACCTCTTTGAGTAGCACATCACATTTTTTAATTACTGTTACATGCCATTTCTTTTCCAATTGTTGAAATAATTGAACTAATTCACAAGACCACAATGGTGGAAGTAAGCATGCACGTGACATTTCCGTGGTCCCATGTTTCTGGGGAGAAGATGGATGTCGGATTAGTAGACCATGACATAATCTTAAGAGGCTTTTCAGCCAGGTGAGCTATAAAAATTTAAAGTAATAACTGCATCTGAGATGACCTACAGAACAAGCTACTGTACAATGTCAAGCTCCTCACAGTGTTATCCCGTTCGTGGAGCTCTCTATACTATCGCTGCAACCAGTCAAAGCTTCCTACTAGGATAGGGGGCCACAGTCATGCTAACTAACTGACCGTTACGTTAACAAACAAGTGACGACTGTCATGACACTCAATACTCTTAAACAGCTATATTATTTTCTTTGTTTGTCATGTAATTGGTATAGTAAGAATGTAAGGGGAAAGTTGGTTGATTTTCCATTTGTCTGCAATCTCTAACCAAGAAGTTAAATTGGAAATATGGTCAGTCGTAAACCTTTTCAGAACTCACTATGATGGCATTCCCAAAGACATAAACAAAAGTAAAAATGTTACTACATTTGGCAAAGTTCAAGATTCTTGTAATAGCCGCACCTACACTTGTGGCAGCAATCTAACTGAGAGTTTAACGAAGGTGTCACATGCTGGGTTGGTTTGTTGTTTAACGCCACACTCAGCAATATTCCAGATTTATGACGGTGGTCTGTAAATAATCAAGTCTGGACCAGACAATCCAGTGATTAATATCATAAGCATTAATCCATGCAATTGGGATCAATGACATGCATCAACCAAGTCAGCGAGCCTGACCACCCGATCCCGTTCACATGCTGGGAAGGAGCTTGGTACAATGTAGCTGAAGGGAGACAACTCTACCTTTTCCTGCATCTCCGGTAACTGTTTGCCGGTAAGGTCATCACATAAGTTGAACACAATCACATAGATGGCTCGTGCAGTCAGGAATACCTGCAACAACAGCAACAGTGGGGAAATAACACAAGGTTCTGTAGCTCACACGCCTCCTGCAGGGCACTCCTGGCAGCCACAGCAGTACATGAAGGTTGCAATAAGGCTCCACAAGGCTGGCTATATACAATGTTTATTCCTAATACAGGATATTTACCATGCCATAACACACTATATGTGTAACCAAATAAACATTTGTGTACAATCAACCTGGGAAAGGGTCTCCCTTCATAAATGTATTCCTTGATGAGTTAAATATTGGAATACAGTATTTGACTACCGTTGGACTTGGAATATTAAATGACCTTTTTGGTTTTTAAAAAAATGGAAAAAAAAGAACTTTATGATGATTCAGGCCTGAGAACCAAGACTAATATTTAACCTAAATACAATACACAGCAAATATGTATTATAGTGACTGCAGTTATAATGAACTCAAAGGGACCACTAATTTTAGTTTGCTATAACCGTAGTTGGTTATAAGCATTTCAATACATCCTATGTTTATCAATCTCATAAAGGACATAAAATACATAACAATGGAATACATGTCCTAAATATATTATTCACAGTTTCAGTGACATACAGACACAAGAGTCACTTGCCATAGACTTGTCTAACTGGATCACTTATTTGCGGAAGATTTCACTTTTCTACCAGGTTTTGGAGTTGAATTTGCAATCGACCGGCAAACTTTGAACGTTTTGAAACACCTTAGTTTCACAGATTCAGACACTGTTTTACTGGTAAATTGAGGAATCCAGTTAATCTCTCTCAATTGTTTATTGCCACTTTGTACAGTCTCGCGTGACCGGAGATGTTTTGATTGGCTGATTGGCTGATTGGTGAGCAGCAGCGGAGATTAACAGTTCGTTATGAACATAAACATTGTCGTTCACAGACAGTTCGCTATATCCGTTATTTCATTATAGGAGTGTTTGTTATATCCATCAATTTCACATCATAAAATATACAGCAAATGGCGAGAACCGTAAAAACAGTTTATCACATCCGCCAGTATGGTATAAGCGTGTTCGTTATAAATGCAGCTTACTGTATTGTCACACCACATAATGACTGCATACCAAAATTCATGATGATACATTCAGAATTGACTGAGCAATAGGTGAAACTTACATTTTCAAAATGACAGCCATGTCTAAAGAAGGATCTGAATTCTGCATGGACATTGTAATGATGACATTAATTGGACAAAAATGAAATCAGCTTATGAAAAGCTAGGTCAAAACTCTAAATATGCAGACAACAATATACAATATGCTATTCAACATACAGTCTACTGCATATCAAATTACACACATGAACAAATGGCTGAGTAATGGACAAAGAATAATTTTTTAATATGGCAGCTAAGGCAGCCATGTTTGAAATCAAATCTGCATTCTGAGAGCAAACTTGAACGCCAATATAGGTGGGGTCAAATTTTGGCTTCATGGGCCTTCATAGAAGATGTCGAAAAGGCAGAAACACAAGAAAAACAGGAGTAAGTAAAGATTGTAAGTAAGAAAAAAACCTGTTGTATGTCAAGGGCGAACAATACTTGCTCACGTCCAACACACTAACCTGGTGTGTGGTGTAGTACACGGCCTGACCCGCGAAGTCCCAGATATTGAGCACAACTTGGTGACTCTTCTCGGCAGTCTGCACAAGCTCAAGGCTGTGCGTCGGCGACCCTTGTGACCCCTGACCCAGCATCTGTTGCACCAGCTGTACGACACGGTCCGGTACGTCCTGCATCACCTCTGGGGGAACCTCCTTGATGTCGTCAAACAGATTCATACCAAGGGATGTTGCCCGTCGCACCAGCAATGGTTTCCGCTTGTCCTGTTGTGAGATAAGAATACAACACTGAGTTCTATTCAAGAACTCTTCGTTGCAAGAAGGTTTTGTTTTCTTTTTTTGTTTGTTGTTTATTGTTTGTTTTCATTTCAGTTCAACACATTTTATTATTTTATTATACAAGCCTAAGTTTGCACAGAGATTTCAGTACCACACAGTCTGTTCAGAGATCAACAAACCCATTCTAAGATGCTTAGCGTTCATAAGGACCAGATGATGACTCTTTGAGCGTGTCCCTGTTTTAAACACAAGTGAAATGTAGATCAGCCAGCAAAGTTTTCAAATGGAACATAGATCATATCCCAATATGACTATTCTTAATTTGAAATAGTATTTCAGGTTTGAAATCCGTACAAGAAACTATCTCCCAACTCATCCCTATCCTGACTGTCCATCCCTGAAGGAGCTCCATGCTATCCTCCAACTCATCCCTATCCTGACTGTCCATCCCTGAAGGAGCTCTATGCTATCTCCCCAACTCATCCCTATCTTGACTGTCCATCCCTGAAGGAGCTCTAGGCTATCTCCCTAACTCTTCCCTATCTTGACTGTCCATCCCTGAAGGAGCGCCATGCTATCCTCCAACTCATCCCTATCCTGACTGTCCAGCCCTGAAGGAGCTCTATGCTATCTCCCCAACTCATCCCTATCTTGACTGTCCATCCCTGAAGGAGCTCTAGGCTATCTCCCCAACTCATCCCTATCTTGACTGTCCATCCCTGAAGGAGCTCCATGCTATCCTCCAACTCATCCCTATCCTGACTGTCCAGCCCTGAAGGAGCTCCATGCTATCCTCCAACTCATCCCTATCCTGACTGTCCATCCCTGAAGGAGCTCTATGCTATCTCCCCAACTCATCCCTATCTTGACTGTCCATCCCTGAAGGAGCTCTAGGCTATCTCCCCAACTCATCCCTATCTTGACTGTCCATCCCTGAAGGAGTGCCATGCTTTCCTCCAACTCATCCCTATCCTGACTGTCCAGCCCTGAAGGAGCTCCATGCTATCCTCCAACTCATCCCTATCTTGACTGTCCAGCCCTGAAGGAGCGCCATGCTATCCTCCAACTCATCCCTATCCTGTCTGTCCAGCCCTGAAGGAGCGCCATGCTATCCTCCAACTCATCCCTATCCTGACTGTCCATCCCTGAAGGAGCGCCATGCTATCTCCCCAACTCATCCCTATCCTGACTGTCCATCCCTGAAGGAGCTCTAGGCTATCTCCCCAACTCATCCCTATCCTGACTGTCCATCCCTGAAGGAGTGCCATGCTATCCTCCAACTCATCCCTATCTTGACTGTCCATCCCTGAAGGAGCGCCATGCTATCCTCCAACTCATCCCTATCCTGACTGTCCATCCCTGAAGGAGTGCCATGCTATCTCCCCAACTCATCCCTATCCTGACTGTCCATCCCTGAAGGAGCGCCATGCTATCCTCCAACTCATCCCTATCCTGACTGTCCATCTCTGAAGGAGCGCCATGCTATCCTCCAACTCATCCCTATCTTGACTGTCCAGCCCTGAAGGAGCGCCATGCTATCCTCCAACTCATCCCTATCCTGTCTGTCCAGCCCTGAAGGAGCTCTAGGCTATCCTCCAACTCATCCCTATCCTGACTGTCCATCCCTGAAGGAGCTCTAGGCTATCTCCCCAACTCATCCCTATCCTGACTGTCCATCCCTGAAGGAGCGCCATGCTATCCTCCAACTCATCCCTATCCTGACTGTCCATCTCTGAAGGAGCGCCATGCTATCCTCCAACTCATCCCTATCTTGACTGTCCAGCCCTGAAGGAGCGCCATGCTATCCTCCAACTCATCCCTATCCTGTCTGTCCAGCCCTGAAGGAGCTCTAGGCTATCCTCCAACTCATCCCTATCCTGACTGTCCATCCCTGAAGGAGCTCCATGCTATCCTCCAACTCATCCCTATCTTGACTGTCCATCCCTGAAGGAGCGCCATGCTATCCTCCAACTCATCCCTATCTTGACTGTCCATCCCTGAAGGAGCTCTAGGCTATCTCCCCAACTCATCCCTATCTTGACTGTCCATCCCTGAAGGAGCTCCATGCTATCCTCCAACTCATCCCTATCTTGACTGTCCATCCCTGAAGGAGCTCTAGGCTATCTCCCCAACTCTTCCCTATCTTGACTGTCCATCCCTGAAGGAGCTCCATGCTATCCTCCAACTCATCCCTATCCTTACTGTCCATCCCTGAAGGAGCTCCATGCTATCCTCCAACTCATCCCTATCTTGACTGTCCATCCCTGAAGGAGCTATAGGCTATCTCCCCAACTCACAGTTATCCTGTTGGTAATCTTCCCTGCTGAGTGGGACGTAACTGCTGACTTGATGTCTCTAGATGTTTTGGTTACAGCCTCTTTCTGACGTTTCTGATACAGCAGTTCCTGGACAATATTGGTGGCAAGTGCCTTGTGGTACTCCTCCTCTAGACCCTCACTTCCACCTGGAGACAAGACAAACAGTATAGTGACTGGACAATTTTGGTCGCAAGTGCCTTGTGGTACTCCTCCTCTAGACCCTCACTTCCACCTGGAGACAAGACAAACAGTATAGTGACTGGACAATATTGGTGGCAAGTGCCTTGTGGTACTCCTCCTCTAGACCCTCACTTCCACCTGGAGACAAGACAAACAGTGTAGTGACTTGACAATTTTGGTGGCAAGTGCCTTGTGGTACTCCTCCTCTAGACCCTCACTTCCACCTGGAGGCAAGACAAACCATGGTGGGAATACTTCATATGAATGCATTAAATCTTTGATTTTTCTATGACTAGTAATAAACTGAGGACCTACGTCATCCAATCTTATCTTTTTAAAATTTAACAGATGGTATAAAACATATATATGGCATTTCAAATGGATCAGAGTTTATTTTCACAATGAACGTTCTGATATAGAAGGGACTTACTGAAATAATCTGCCTCAATATCCCCTACCAACTTATACAGAGAGAGTGAGAAATTCAAAACGGTACCAGTACTATTTCAGCGAAATGTCAAGGAGAACAAGTAATATGCAAACTTCCACGAAAAACATGGACACACTGAAAAATATTAGCTGTCTGAAAAACAAAAGGTGTCTTTACCAAGAATACCCAAGTTTTTCTTTTCATCATCACTTTCTGCTTCGGGTGGTTGTTCCCCCTTGATTGCTAGTTGCCATGACGATCGGTTGTTGAGGTTAAAGGAGCAGGAAGCAGACAGGTCGATCCCATCTGTGCTCTCCTCGGCTGTGTTATGGCTGGAGACACACACATAGATTGTACAACAGTTGTGCTCATTCAATGACGGGTCAAAACACTTCGTTTAATGCCCACTCAGCAATATTCTAGCAATGCCAGCAGCATGTATATATGGACGGCAGACCAAATAAACCAGTGGTTGATGTCGATAGCAAACAGAGTTCATGCATTCAACCAAGTCAGTGAGCCTGACCACCCGATCCCAGTCGGCGCCTCTTACGACAAGCATAGTCGCCTTTTACAGCAAGCAAGGGTTGCTGAAGACCTATTCTACCCTCGATCTTCACGGGTCTCACTGAGACTGAGTCTGACCAAAGTCTTGACCAATAAGCAATCTCGTAAACATCAGACCATAGTGCTCGCTACTGCTACACAAAGATTTGATAACATCCCATTATAGGTCACAACAGAACAACAGTTCAAAATGTCAGCAGCCATTTAAACAAAGTTGCTGTTAGCATTTCTATTCAAATATTTTCTACATGACCTCTGAGCACAAAAGTATCAACAGATATGAAACAATTAACTAAATTTCCACAATGTTCCAAAAATCTGCCAGAATGGATGTACTATCAAAGAGTGATTGAGTGAGTAGTGTTTTGCCCCACTTTTAGCAATATTCCAGCATATCAAGGTGAAGGACACCAGAAGTGGGCTGCACACATTGTACCCATGTGGGGAATCAAACCCAGGTCATCAGCATGACAAGTGATCACTTTAACCACTAGGCTACCCCACCACAACTATCATAGAACATTGTTGTTTACAGTACCAAAAGCATATTTAAAAAAAATATATATAGCATGGCCAGATCGTAGTCAAAATTTAGAATATTAAAAAAATCAGAATACATGTTTAGCCAAATCACATATACACAATTTTCTTATATTTGGAGTGAAAATAGCTGAGTGAGAGCCATTAATAGCTTTTTCAATATGGTCGCCATGGTGGCCATATTGAAAACCCTAAATATAGCCATTACTCAGTTATTTTTATTCAAAATGTAATGAAATTTTGTAGATGTGTAATTAGTACTGTTTGTTTGTTGTTTAACATGCACTCGGCTATGTTGGCTATGTTCCAGCTATATGGAAGTGACCAGTAAAAAATCGCGTCTGGACAAGACAATCCAGTGATTGATATTGTGAGAAACAGTCCACTCCATCGGGGTATGATGACATGAAATCAACCAAGTCCAGAGCCTAACCACAGGATCCATTTGGTCACATGACTTTCAGTCAGGTGAGCTGGAAAGGGAATGTGGGCCCAGAAAGCGACAGACAATGAGGGAGGATGAGAGTTAACAAGTCTTCCCCACCAACACACATACAATGAACCACTAAAACACAGATAGAGAGATGTTCGACAGTTTTACCTTTGACCTGTCAGGGCTTTCTTGAGACTAGTTTTGCCCACTCTATCCTTGCCCACAAGCATGAGACGTGTGCGAAACACCGGCTGGGTTCCAGTTGAACACGCCTTTTCATACGCTTCCATTGCCTCCGGGCCACGGGCAACAATTTCCTTCGGAGCGTCATCTACAAGAAGTTGTTTTTAACTAAATCTATTGTCACTGTAATCATGGAAACACCTTAAAAGCTTCAAATTTTTATTCAGAATCATGAAAAAATTCTTGAATCTCTGTTTGAGGTAATTATAAAATCCAGCTGGTAATTGTAGGAGCAATAATTAGTGATAGCTTGAAGTGACAAGCATATTAATGTTCATCATTTTAAAAATTCCGATTTTTGGATCAATAACTAAGACATGCTCAGCATCAACCGGAATGGGATCCTGACGGGTCTTGACTGATGAGGTGATGAGATATGGGATGTAACGCCTCAGGGTTGAATTTGGTAAAGTGGGGTACACTACCCAGGTCATGAAGTGAACAAAACTACTGACACGGGTCATCATGTGCAGGGACGTAAAGGTCTCAAAAGGAGATCCTTTTATGTAATACCAAGAAAAGATGTAATAGTATTTGTTGTCATCCTGCCTGATGCTCACCAATAAAGAGATAAACAAGGACTGGTCGGCTTGGAGTCAGCATAACGTGTCAGAGTGGGATATCCCAATACTGCTGATTACAATGTGAAACTTAAGTCGTTTACTTTTAAAACCCTTTATCTGCCTCTGAGCAACATTCTTTCACGCAACAAAGACAACATGTGGTTGTCTCCTTCACCTGTGCCTAACGACACCTCACAATGACTAAAGCGCCCTCTACCGGACACAGGAGACAGAGAAGCCAGCCTGGTGTGTATAATCAATAGCCCGGCCACCTTCAGGGATAAGACCTTGTGTAAGAGCACATCTGATTACTTATGACATGCTATTCAGCAAAAATCATTGCCCAGATTTACATTAGCTGCTAAACCTGTGATGGATATTAGTCTGTCAACAACCTCATGTCGACACCGTGAAATCATTGTTTTTCAGGAAAGTCCATGGCATCCATTAGAGGGGCTTGCACAATACACGGGCTTGCACAATACACAAACATGCAGCATTCCCATTACGTCAAGGACATCGGTGACACACAAGGAGATGTGGATGGCATCAGCAAACATGTGGATGTGGTAGGCCTTGTTTTTCACAGTTGAAAACAAGGGGAAAAGTGAGCGTGGTTCACTAATACCCCCGACCCGCCTAGTGTGTCAGTAGTTTCACATTAAATAATGGATAGGGTTAGGGTTTGAAAAATTAATTAAAAAAATGGAAAATTAATAGTCTTTTGACTGCACCCCTCCATATGACACAGATTATATGTACTAAGTTTGAGATGAATCAACTGAATAGTTTAAGAGAAATCGTGGGGACAAAGTTTTTGGACGGAAGGACAGATGGACGGAACCTTGGTATAACTAAAAGGTCGGGGGTATAATAACCCACAACATTCATGTCTTTGTGAAGGTTCAGCTTACTGTTTTCAATTTATCAATAAGGATTTGCTTATCCTATGCGTACTTAGACTTGAAATAGCCTACTAGTGACTCTTTTCTCAATCCATTGCTGCTATTGTAGTGCTGAAATCATTCATTCCTGAGATTAAATTAAAAAAACAGAACCCTTTCCATATCCACTGGAAATGTCTGCAAAAAGCAGAATCGACTATACGATTCCGACTATATCAAGAGCATGTGTTTATGAATCACCATCAAGCAGAAATGATACCAGGTGTTCATGAAAAGGTGAGCGTATCCTGCCCCACCGTTGGCACCCGTCACAAACACATGCCTAGTACAATGGCAGCATGTCAAGGAGTAGGATACTTTCTACAAGGAAGCATGGCTGCTCTTGCTCTGCCACATGCCAAACATCCTCCTCAGTCATCCAGGGTATTTTAGTCTATTCTATTATCATATACGCCCTGGACTCATTCATGTGAACATCTGGGTTCGAATAGGTCTTCAGCAACCATGCTTGCCGTAACAGGCGACTATGCTTGTCGTAAGAGACATAAACAACATGGCAACTGTTTTGCCGAATTCGGGTTTGCAGAGCATGTGTGCCCTCAACTGGGTGCTGACAAAATCTTTTCATATTTTTAATCATGGTGCTCAAGTGATTTGATGCTCTTCACAAGGTAAAACCTGTTTTTATTACAATAAAGATCTTTATTATCAATCAAATCGTCTTGACTTGGCGCAACTATTTTGTTTAAAGCAAATGCAAGAGGTATGAGAGATGGAATCTGATTGGTCAGTAGGGGGACATAGAAGGGACATAACTCGTAATAGCCCATTGTGGTACGACTGAGCCCAGAAGTTCCAGCCTAGTTCGGCAAGGGTGGAAACTGGACTCTTAAAGTCAATAAACTCCCTTTCCTTGGGAAGATGCAATGTCGGGGAATTGGTCATGGGTATGGAGAGTAGCGTCACAGACATAGGTCCATCTTCAAGCAATAGTCTACCCCTTTTAGGACTGGTTGAGTAAAGCTGGCCATCTCAGGATTCACAGCCCACCCCACAATTGCAAAAAATATTTTAAGCTCATCCGATCCAGCCACAACTAGCTCAGACCAGCCACGACTCACCCAGACCAGCCACGACTTAGCAAAGACCAGCCTCAACCAGGTAATTTGGTACAATGCCCAGTTACATGCTGATATTTAGACACATAAACATGACTGAAACAATTCAGGTAAGGCTGGCATAATAACATGAGAGACACTGGATAATTTGAGGTGGCGTAACCTATTAAAGTGACTTTCCTTTGTGACTAGCAATTGCATTCTTTCAAGACACTGGCATTCACAAATAGGTAGTATGAGTGCCTTGTATTTCTGTTCATGGCAATATTTGTTAAACATATTTATTCTCTAGCTTGGTCTTTTTTGTAAGATCTCTCTGTAACATGAGGAATAGACATTTATTACTTGTCCAACAATGTTGTTTTCTAATATTGCAACAGCTATTCTATATCTTCAAATGCCATGATTAGAGCATTCTGAACAAAGGATGAAATGGGGGAAGGACAAGAAAAATGAGTTGCCTGATTTACTGGGATCGATCCCTCACAAAGAGTAAAAAAAGACTAAATAAAAACATTTGGCATTGAGCCATTTAATTAAAATTATACCTCAACAAAGGTTTAGAATTAATTCATATTATAGACTGCTAACAAATGAATAATTAATTACAAATTTCAGAAAGGAATTTTTTTAAAGAATATATTTCGTATTTCCTAGGAAGCAGCACTTTGATTGACGAGTCTCCACCATGAGAGAAGACAAAACGATCTGGCCATAAGCTTGTGAAGGCCTTTTTTTCCATCAGGTGGTTTACAAAAACGGACAAGACAAATATTGTTTTGGGAGCCGATCCCATTTCATGAATGATCAGTTGTCACCTGAGCAACATCTTGGGTAAATAATTCAGGGCGAAATCACTGGCACTTACAAACTGATTCCTCCTGAAAGGACATCAGAGCCGCCAGTGAAAGCCATGACCTACACCACAGTTGATGTTCTACTTGCCTTTCATGACAAAAATATGTGGGTGTATTTCATCTGGAAAAACTGACGTCAATCCATCGACTACCAACACTAGATTCACTGTCTGTGAGTGAGTGAGTGAGTGAGTGAGTGAGTGACTTTGGTCTACTGCCACTGTGAACAGTAGGTCATCATATTACAGTCTGTCAGCTTCATGTGGTAAAAGGTAAAAAGCCACAGAAAATATTGGAATATTTTTATTTTGCCTAAGGTTTTTTTTTTTAATTGTTCTGGGACATGCTGGATTGGCTCCATTATCCATTGTTTTCAGAGAGAATAAAATTGTATTTCTTGAAGCAGTGCCCCCATAAATAGTCTGTCTCTAACAAAATAACAAAACGCCAGGCTCAAAGAAACCCCATCCCCAGCAATCCCGCACTCACTCAGACAATTTTATGTCAGTCCATCTTTTACCTACACATTGCTAGGAATACTGCAAGTCCCACCTGAGTACTACCCTGCTACTCTCCTAAAAACATCAATGTAAAACAAATTAATATTAACATCACAGAATCAATAGACGAGAAGGTCACCGACACGATATAATCATGTACCAGGATGTTCCTGGCCCCCAACCTAGCTCGTATCACACGGCAGAGCATTGTTGTTGGCAGAGGTTGGATCTGCCCGACGGACAATGTGTTGGTGTGATGATTGTTAATTGACCAATGAGTTGCATTTCCTGACAGATGGAGAATCAATGGACAAATTGGCCAGTGTACTGACTGACGCTCTCCTGACCACACAGACTGTGATCAGTTGTCCTACCAATACATCTTCAGTAACAATGCAATGATTCCCAATACGTCGCCAGTACTTTTGTATGCTCCCTGGCAATGCCTGAAGTTAAAAACTTAAAAGAGTACAAAATTTTGACAACTTTCATATCAATATTTTCAAATTTTCCATATTTTTCAAATTTGAAACGGTCGTGAGACAACCTTGCCTGTTGAGTACAAAGAAACATGATTGATACTTACTGGGCTCTATATCGGAAAGGATGCGGGGCTTCTTCATCGTTAACTACTTGACGGTCTTTATGATGAAGTGATAACAATACCCACAAGTGCTGATGATGAGACAGTCTGTCCGTGTTGGATCACCATATATTATTTAATATGTAAAGAGGCCAGAGATGCAATTTTTAAGTTTTGTGCTAACAATATATCAGTTACAGGACTCCTTGGCTCCAAATGCAAGTCTCCAAGAGTGAACTCTCTTGTAATTGTTGATTGTTTTCATATACATGAAGTGCTTCAGGCTTAATAATTCTATGTGTATTCATCTTTGGGATAAAACACGCTTCCTCGGTTTTGGCCGAAAATGTAAAACCGCAAGAAAGGGAAACACCTAAAGGCTTTTCATGAGCTCAAGGTTTTCATGAGCTCAACCAAAACTGAGGAGGTGTTTTAATCCAACTTGTGAGCCTTCTAAATGCAAGAAATACCAGACAAAATAAGAAAACATCAAGATACCTTATAGTGAAACAATATGTGTTGCGGTATAAAAGGAATTCGATCAAAGTGTGCAAGAGAAAAA